GAGAGAGAGAGAGAGAGAGAGAGAGAGAGAGAGAGAGAGAGAGAGAGAGAGAGAGAGAGAGAGAGAGAGAGAGAGAGAGAGAGAGAGAGAGAGAGAGAGAGAGAGAGAGAGAGAGAGAGAGAGAGAGAGGCGGGAACAGCGCTGGTCGTCGGCACCAGAGAGAAGACAGGGAAGGCGGCGGCCCGCAAAACACCGGAGTGCTGCGGCACAGCCTAACCAGACTCGCTGCCACAGTTCACGCTCCAACTCTGTCCCGTACGGGATGGAAACGTTAGACACAGACGGCGGAACGGAACAGACCCGCCATCGTGACTGTATCCCAGTGCAGAATGGAATGCTGCCCTCCGACAGCCTAAAGAGACCCGTCACCACAGAGCCCGCCCTCCTGGAAATGCTAGTCGCAAACAGCTTTGCTACTCTAATTGCTGCCTACTAACCAGTGTCCCATCGCAGGAAATTCTAGCCTCAGAGTAAAGCGATGGAGGACAAATATGAGAGGGATACAGCAAATACAGTGAACAAATATAGCACGTCAAATTGGTGTAGGACGCCATACAGTCAACTGATGGTCGGTATTTATTTGCAGAAACGACAGTGCTTGTAGCGGTTTTTGACAGATAATGTGGAAATGTCAGAATAATGATGATAGCTAAGCAATCAGTAGTGTTTGATTGTTACTGTTCCACGCATACGAACTTCTTGGTACAGTGATTATGTACTGTATTGTTTGATGAGCTCATATATCAATAAAATCTTTCCATTGCCATTGTTTGGTGATATATCACCGTACACCACATACAGAGCGCAAACATACAAGTCAATGTTAACCCTCGCCCGCACATGCCATTTTCCATCCTAGAAAGCACATGGGCGGGGGGAGGGGGCATCCTCCGCGGCATTTCGTTCCTGTTGGAGATAGAGCTTCGCGGTAAAGACTAAAAAGATTCTTTGGGAAGAGACGAATCCAATGATACCCAGTTTTACCTTCTCAGGTCAGTCATTGACCTTCCAGGTCAGGTCAAACTAAAAAATGTCGCTGTTTTGTGTCACCGTTGGATATCGAGTGCGCTGCTCATCATATACCGTCGACGATGCCGTTTTGTGGTGCCAAGCCAGCTAGAACCTCTTTGTCACACTATCCGACCAGGTTTTTGCTGCTGAGGTCATTTCAGGTCAAGTTAGGTCAAGGCCAATGATATGTGTTTGTATGTCTGTGTGTCTACTGATGTGTGCACCGATTGTTTATGTGTCCATATTACATGAGATCATGAAATGAGAAGCTTTTGCCAAAAATACAGTAAAAGAAACTTCACGAAAAGTAAATTCAGCTTGCCTAAAACGTAATGTTTTTAGATGAACTAGGTTGACCTTGAACCTGACCTTGACATCTTAACATCATCGAACAACATGTTCCATGATAGGTGAGAGGTAAGACTGGCAAAAAAGGCCGAAATCAAGTTGTCAAAAGCTCATAAGACCCATAGCCAACGCAGGATATTGGCTATTTGTCATTTGGGTCATTACATGACCTGAAGAACAAGATCATATCTCCAAAGCAAAAACCACAGCAGCTTGAAATTTTCAGTGGCCATCAAGAAAGAATAGAGGAGCAACTATACGAAAAATAAGGCTTCTACCTCTAAAAATGTTGAGTGCAGAGCAGAAAAACTACGTGAGAGGAGCGGGGGTGGCAACCCCCACCCCCCTATGCGCGGGCGAGGGTTAAGGTAAACTTATCAACTATCAATGTTAGCATCAAAGGAAGGTAACAATTGCATTTCATCGTTCCTATTGAACAAATGTATTTAAACTCGGTCAGCCATTTTGTATTGATCGCAATATGGTTGCTCTTCCAGGTATATCCAGCACGCTCCGGACCTTCGATACGTGAGCCGGCAGGCGTGGCGCAACCTGACCTCCCTCAAGTCCCTGTGAGTAGATCAATGAAGGCCTGTCGGGTCCGTCGACTTATTACAAAGTCGGTAACGGATGGGGTGGGGATTATTATCGATGGCGGCTCACGCAGCAGGAGTTCAGGTAATCTGTCAACCCGAGCTTCCCTAAACAATAGTTACCTTATGCGTTCTTTGTCTGGTGTTAGTGTAACAATATATTTGGACGTGTGTATTGAGCGTTGGACACTTTTTAAACTGCGCTGTGTCATCCAGGGCCTCGGCTAACATGTTAACTGGTGGGCCAAATGGCCCACCAGTGACCCGAAATGGCCCACCAGCCTCAAAGATTTGGCCCACCAGTAATTTTCCGAAAAATCTAAGTTTTCACATTTTTCACATTTCAAATTGAATTCGCAGATCTTATCGTACATTTTCAGGCTGTAAAGTACCCATCGGTGAAACATATTCTTGTGAAAAAAAACTTGAACCTATTGTTCGCAATATCCTCTTGGGGTAAAAAGTGGACTATAGTACCCGCAACTTAAAAAAAAATCCACCACTTACCTACGTCTTTGCTGTTTGATTTTTACTTCGATTTCCATGTGACGTCACAGTCAAATTGCTGCCATATTTTGTACCATCGATCGATCGAGTGGTTGCAGTCACATAAGCATCTGCCGCAGACCAGTCGGTTACAAGAAAAACTACGAATAAAGAACAGACCAGTTCAGACGGTCGGGGATAAGCCTGCGAGCGATCTCAGACGGCTCGCCGAGAGATACGATATAAGCCAGAGTCAAACTAGAGGTAGTGTCGGCAACTTCCAGGCAATTGAAGTCTGCAAGCGATATTATGCGTCTTCACGACCGGTAGGTATAATGCTTGCAGTCACACATCTGACCAGCCGGACTTTTCGAACCGTTCACAGTCAGCGTTCCAAATATTTCTCATTTGGGCTGAAGATGACACTCAAGAATAAGAATCGAAAATTTTCCACTCTCACATTTTGGGTGGCTAGAATTTTCCACTCAGACACCCAAGAGAAATCTGAAGTTTGGGACATTGTTCACCAGAAGTGTACATAACTTTTTTTTAAAGAAAATATTAGGGTTGCGCAGTGTGCTTGGGCTTTTGAGTCAATTCTTTTCCATGCGACACCAATAGGCTTAATTATCATTTTCAGAGATGTTGGGTTGCTGCTACAACTCCCTTTGGGGCTCCTGCTACAACCCACTTTATATATAAAATTGCACTCGTGCTGTTCACAATTCCTCCCGATCCACCCGACAACGCCCGATCCCGTCCGACCGCTTCCGTATCTCCGACTAGTCGGCGAGCGATCCACTCAGGGCTCGCTGATTTTTAACATCCGGCCGGCCGTAAGTTATCGTCCAAAGGTTTATAATCTGCGTCAATATTTTGTGCAAACTTGTGCGATTTTATGTGCACCCCCGGAGTATTACCACTGAGAGGGTTGTGCTTGTGGGTCCCTACTCCCTAATCTCTCCTCTCTCTTAAGAGTGTGTGTGGGGGGGGGGGGGCGGTGTCGAGCTCCGTTTTTTTACATTTTTTTTAATGCCATTCTGACGTTTTTTTTTGCAGAATAAAGTGGCCGAAATCTGGGGAGAAATCGAAAATTGGGGGGGGGGGGGGCTATGGCTACGAAGGTCAGCCCATGTCTCTGCCCAAGTGGCCTACCAGTCAAAATTCCTTAGCCGAGGCCCTGGTGTCATCCTCCATAGAATCTATCAATTGATAGAAGACATTATTAGATTACATAAGCTGGAGACAAGGTGCCGACTGCCGACAATTTGTATGCATTTTTGAGGTTCGTGATCTAGCCAAATCATTGCCTAAGAGTTGCTTCAAAACATGGCACTGCACACTGCACGGCTTAATCCTGGTAAAACGCTCAATATAAAAGCATGTGTACTCATTCCAACTTTTCCCTAATCAAGAACTTTTAATTTCTAAACAACTTTGGAAACAGTCAAAGCTGCTCGACGTGAAGTCAGTTTTTTTTTTTTTGCGCGGCAAGTAAGGCTCTTTCAGTCCGCACCTGTGAAGCATGCTCGGAGCGCCAGTGTTGACTGCACCACGTTGCAAACAAGGTCAGGGAAGTGCATTATCGGGCTCACCATGCCGTTCCGGGATGAATGATGCGGTTCTCGGAGCTCGTGCGTTACCCCGTCCGGAGACGGTGCCTACTGACCCGCCAGGGTCCCCCGAGCGGTAATGGTATTACATCGCCGAACAGAACCTGACCTCAGCTGCCGTCTGACCTCCCACTTTGAAACATACACATATATGAGGCCGACAGAGCCGATTCTGTGTCGCTGTATCCACTGTAAATGCATGAGACGGCCGCAAATACCGTCCCAAGACAGCGCTGAATATGCCCTGGACTGCGATGTGGCGCCGGCCCAAACTGTTACAAACTTGTTGTCGAAATCCGCCGCGACGTTTTCCATTGTAATTCAGCATTATGAAGCAATTACGTATACCTTCGACGCGTTCGTTGCAAACATTCAGGCACCAAAATAGATTTCTGTTCAGCGCAGCTAAACACGATTGAAGCTTAGCAACACATATCGATTGCTATGGTTCTTATGCTCTGTCAACGATCATTGACGATGCAACTCTAACCTACCCCAAGCTTCATACACGTTCGTTTAGACTTACACAAGCCTATCGCTCTCTCTGAAGGCTCACATTAGCGTCGTGTATTCTACGGCTGCTCGTGACAGCCCGTCTCCACCCTCGTCTTTGACAATCTTTCGTTTCTCTTTTTGCCTTCTTTCTTTATTTCTCTGTCCGTCTTCCTTACATTTCTTTGTCTCGCGTTTTATGAACCGACGATCGTCCGTGTCTGTCTCCCGTGTATTTCTCACTTTGTCCCCCCTTTTTTCCTCAACCACCTGCAGTTCTCAATCGTCTTCTATATACAGGGTGTCCAGAAAAAAAGATACCACGGAAATTAAGTCGCATTCATTAACGCACGTGCCGATTTTGTTCCAAATTCATGTGCTTATAGTGCAAGATTTGGCAAAACTCATGAGCACTGTAGTCTGTAATGCGTCGTTGGAAAGTTGTCTGCTTGCCCTCCGAGATGGTCAACATGACCATCAGTCACCTGCAGACTGCTAGTGCTGGAGCTGATCCGCCGTAAGGCCGCTCACATTGAGTGTCTGCTTTGAGGAGCTGCCGCAACTAACCAAAGAGTTTACATGCCACGTGGCACCTGCTGTCTGTTTTGCCATATTTTGGCGAATACAAGCATGTGCCATTTTAAAATGTAAGGTGTTTATTTTCGGAATTACAGCAAAAAATAATAGTATCCGTTTTTCTGGACACCCTGTATGCATTTGTCACTGGTCTCAAGTGTATTTTTCGCCAGTCCCACGCCTTGCTCCGCCAATCTTCAGCGTATCATTCCATTAGTCTCGGATCCTTACGTCAGTCAGTCTTCTTCGTGAAACTGATAATTTATAGTTTGCTGTGGATGAGCACGGAATGCAGGGTTACATGTTGAGAAGCCTCATGCCTCTTAGTTTTGCTTTGCTGTTGAAAGTTTTGAATGTCACCCAAGCCTTTGTGTTACGCTTTTACCAAGTTTTGTAACTTGAATTTGGCCTGAAACGCTGGTAACGGGTTTGACGACTGATGATGACATAATGTCAAAACCCATTTGGTTCATATAACTTCCATTAAAGACCTGTAAGTGGCACCAAAGAGTGACAAGCTTGTTGTGAACTCGTTAACTTTGCTAGCGACTTAGGTACTCGTATTAGGTAGGGGAGAGTGGGGCAAAGCGGCCACCCGGGGCAAAGCGGCCACCCATCGTTTTAGCCCTTCATAGCTGGCGTCAGTTCCAATTTATGGTTTCCAATTATACTTCTCTTCACGGTCGTTCGAATGAGCCAGGCCGGGGTTTCAGGCCCATCACCATTGTTCTGTGAAACACGGAAAAGCATTTCTTGCCAGGTTACCAACTATGTTTACAATTTTTAAATGTTATGTTATTCCATAACCGTTTGGAATTTTTATAAGCGTTCTTGTCCATGCATTGCATGGTTATCGTACATGTATTCTACCAATTGTAATGTTTTTTACCCCACTAATAGCTATAAGCTGGAATATTTTTGTCTCGGACGGTATGCACGGGGCAAAGTGGCCGGGGCAAAGTGGCCACCCCCCAATTGGCCATAAGTTGTTTCCATCTGGATAAAAAACATTATTTATATTTAAATGTGTCGTCATGCATTCATCTTGGCCACTTTTCAGTTGCATGAGTTACCAAAATATGCAATCAAATGTTTTTTTTATGAAAATCCTTTCTTTGTTTACCTACAGGTGGAAGATGATAAAGGATAAACATCCATCCTCGCTTAACCTTGTCACCATCAAATACCCTAATCGTACACGAGGCAACTATTTTGTCACGGGCGTAGGAACGTCATGAAAAGTGGGTGGGCCACCCTGTCAAGGGGCCTCCTTTTCCAGGGGGCCTCCTATTTTCAGGGGCCTCCAACTTTTGCATCGTCCTGATGGCTGCTTTCAAGTATGACCTCCAAATCTAGCTTCAGAGATCGGGCAGATGTACCCAGAGGCGTAACCGCTTAAGCGAACAGTGCGGAAAGTCCGCACCATTTTTAAAACTTATTTCCCCTCCGATTTTTTTTTTAGAATCTATTTGCCGCAAACGGCGCATGACCCCTGAAAACCCTTACACAAATGTCTTCCTCGTTTCCCAGGTGCCCCCATTAGCTTCATGGGCGCCCTCTTTGGCATATAAGCGCCCTATGTATAGTCATCAGAGACATCCCTATATGTCCCACACCCACAGTCACCCCGTTGTCGCATATACAACCTATTATGGACACTTGAAGGCGCCTCTCTTTGCCACGCCGGTGCCCCTGTTTCTTATGAATGCACCCCCATGGCATTGATCAATTGCAGTCTGCAGACCTCTATTCACTATTGCATGTGGACGCCCATATGGTAGGCCTCAGAGGCACCCCTCTTTCGCATTGAGG